TGACTTTGTTTACATAATACATAAACACTCACGCCTGTCACCCAGAGGGGTAGGCAGAGACTACGGACTTCCATTTGGCACGATCCTGACATATTGATTGACTTTGTTTGTTATTTAAATTCTAATTCTAAATAATTCTAAATTACAATTCTAATTTCGAAAATGACGTTGTAAATAACTGATAACTATGTAATTCAAAGTTTATATTTTTTTATATTATCTTGCTAGCTTGCGCATTGCTGCCGCAGAAGATGTAATTGTGGAAATATCATTACAAATGTGGAACAGTTATATTGTATAATTAGGAATGATAATACAATCATTGAAATAGAAAGATATATAACTTTCTATAACTTTCAAATAAATAGCCAGTATAATACGCACGCCACCTTGTGTCAGTTAATTGTACCATGCGTATAACCTTCGCACAAGTGCAACCAATAAGTTGACTAAGTTTTACCGCAATCTGATGAACGGTATGGCATCGTAGAAAGTACGAACAAACATAAATTTTTATATACCTAGTAGAAAATATCTATAAAACTGTAGTTGATAAGAATAGGCGTTATTATAGCAGCTGATTTGTTTTTTATAATACTAAAACTAAATGAATGGTTGACAATAAATTATTCTAGAAATTATGTTTTTATTTTTATTTTGTGTACTTAGTTTAATCTTAATAATTCTTTAGTTGAATGATTAAGGGATATGATGGCTATCCGAGTACGGAACCAGAGTATAAAACGAATCCAACTGTAGATATGTGTAAGACAGGGTGACGTAATATCCCCGAAATACTTTACCACTGCGTTGGAAAACGTTTTCAACCTACTGGACTGGAAGGGATACGGTATTAACGTCAATGTCGTGTACGTCACTCACCTTCGATTTGCCGACAATATAGTCCTTATGGCACAATCGCTGGAGGACATACGCACTATGTTCAATGACCTCAATAGTGTCTCCCAACAGATAGGTCTTAAGATGAACATGGACAAAACAAAAGTCATTTGTAATGTCCATGTCACACCTCTGCCGGTGGTTTTTTGGGAGCACTTAGCTAAAGTTGTTGATGAGTATTTTATTGGGACAAAGAGTCCGACTAGGTAAGTTCAACTTCGACCGACAGGTCAATCGACGGATTCAACTCGGCTGGGCAGCGTTCGGGATATTACAACTCATCTTCTCGTCAGGAATACCCCAAAACTAGATTGTACAACCAATGCGTGTTGCCAGTGATGAAATATGGATCTGAGACGAGGTCTTACACTGCTGGCCGTATGAGGAAGCTCGAAGTCGCTCAACAATCTATGAAGAGGGCTATACTCAGGGGTTCAAACTTAGGAATGAGGATATCTGCAGCAGAACCAGAGTGACCGACATCGCCCAATGGATTAGTAAGCTGAAGTGGCAATTGACCGGCCATATAGCTCGAAAAACCGAATACCGATGGGGAAAAAAGGTTCTCGAGTGACAGCCTCGTACTGGCAGGTGAAATGCGGGACGTTCCCCCACTAGATCGAGTCAAAACCTTGTAAAACATGCAGGAAGTTGATGGATGCAGGTAGCTCAGGACAGTGCTTTGTGGCATTCCTTGGGGGAGGCCTATGTTCAGCAGTGGATTTATGAAGGGTTTTATGATGATGAATGATAATGGCATTATATTAATATGATACATAAATAGAATGGACGTTACGGGTAGAGTCCATGTATCCATAGAGTCCATTCTATTTATTTAGGTATAGGTAGGGTATAGAATTTTTATCGATGTAATTTGGTACACTGTCTTATCCCTAGTATTAGTTCCGTGGACGTGCACTTCTGCTGTCAGCGCCAAAATGGCGGAAATCAAATCGCTTCATCATGTCACGGTATAGCCACCCACTTGTATCATTACTTATATATTACTAGAGTAAGGACCGGGCTGACCGACCAACTAAAACGGACCAGTGCGCTGGCCCTAAAATTACAGTTTAGGGCCAACGCGAATCCGTCGATAGTAGTGCGCGCGACGGATTTGCCTGTCTATATGCGTGGTAAAATAATGCAAAAATTACGAAACAAAGATTAAAAATAACAAAGAGATATCGTATCATCGGTAAACCTTATATTAATTTTGTTACAATTAAATTGTTATATAAACGCATATTTAAAGTTTTATTTTATAGTTAGTTTAGTTACGTTACCAAGATTAGGCCAGGGCTGGATTCAGACCCTCATAAATATTGTACACGGAAATTAAAATTATAGTATTTTAAAAAAAATTAGATCACGTTTGACGTTTCATGTTTCTTTTTTCCCACGTGCAGGGATTTTGGCGTCACGCGTCTAGTTTATCTATACGTTTCGTTTTTTGACAGTTTTAATTTTATTTCTGTTTAATTTTTGTCTAAAGGACTTAGTGTAAGTTACATTTTGAATATTGGTACCTAATATATTTTATATTCAATTAGGGTAAAACGAAAAGAGTACAAAAGAAACCATATCTGCTTAATTGAATCTGAAAATCTGATTTATAAAATATTTTGAAATTCTGTTTTCAAACCGATTGCTTCTGGAGCATAGAGTTTTTATCGTGGTAGCCCCTCATTAAAGTTGTATCAAGGATGCAACATAAATGATTGATCGCGCGTCGATTGACCAGCAAGGGAGCTAATTCTAATTTTATTAGAAAAACGCGGTAGTCATGTACAATACAAAATTCTCGATATCGTAGGGTTATTATTAAAATGTAAAAACTTTAGGTAAAATTATGGTATTTTCGCTTTGTATTATTACGATACTAATACTACAAACTATGAAATAATGATACAATTAGGATAATTATACTACGAAATCCGACCCTGGTTACGTCGTGTTTTGATATGACGTTTGTATTATGATAGATGCGCTACTTTTTCTTGTATGAAAAAGTTCTGAGTAAAATATTTACAAGGGCCTATCCTTCCTTTTGAAATCATTGACTTGTATATATAGAGGTCAGTGGCGGTGCGTACACCGCACTTTAATCAGTCACTCGCTAGTTCCTATATATAAAAAAGTACTCTGTGCTCGCTAGGCGCCTGTAAAGTTGTCACGTGTTGTGTTGATTTAAAAATATCTCTTGATAAAAATATGCCGTCGTGTGTACTTAGATATTGCACAAATAATTCAAGAAATGTCAGTAAAAACCAAGGAATTACTTTTCATCGGTTAATAAGATACTTAATCAATAAAAAAAGTATTATAAATTAATAATAAAACAAATTATTCCTAAGACGCCATCTCGTGTTATTGAATATAGATTATGAAATTAATATGTTCAGATGCGACATTTCTGTGAGTACTTAAGTATTGGTCGAATATATTATTATTATACACATTTTTTTTTGTAGAAACATATATAAGTTATTATAATTGGGCTAAACTTTTCATATTTAAATCTAATTTAAATTTCATTTTTCGATTTCCACATCAAAGTCAAAGTGGAATAAATTCGTCCATTGAACCAACTATCGCGGGCCCAGCATTAATGAACGACTCTTACTTTCTAATTTAAATAAATATATTTGTAATTTAAATGTTATATTAATAAGTTTTGTTAAACATACATTTAGTATGTTTTTATATTTGATATAGATACTTTTAAAATATTCAGATAAAAATATTAGTAAAATGTAATTGTGATATAATATTATGTAATATTATATTAAATAAGCAAATATAATATACAAAATAAATGACAAAATTTAAATATTATTCTCGATATAATTTACCTATTTAACAATACAATCTACTATTACCTACGGATCATTCTACCTATGTTTATTCTATGATAAAAAACAACCGCGCGAACACAGAGTAGCGCACATTTTTTTGTTTGAAATAGCTGTTCTAGTAGTACTATTATTTATTCTGTGGTTCTAGTACGAAAGTACATACTACTTCAATGATCGTTAACCTATTTTAATGATACTGGTGTCGTATAAAGAATATAAAATTCTAATGGTAGCAAAATATGGGATAAAGTTTAATTTTTATGTATAGCTATTTAAACAGACATTCGAGCTTATATATCCCTTATTCCACTCAAAAGTTATAATAAAATTAGACTCCCAACAAAAATTAAAAGCCAACTTCAAAGAACTAAAAATAATAAAATAATTTCCATACAATAGCTTTAGAAATCAGGGCTATAATACTATAATATATATCAGCACCGACTCACTTGTAAGATGCCTTAATATTATGCAAACTTTGCTTAAAGGACTGATATATAAGACTGATATTGCGTACAATGAATCATTTGTCGAAACGACTTCTTAACTAAATAATAAAATTTTGATAACGAAATCATTTTACATATTATGTGCTATAAATATTAACATAGAAACAACAAGAGTTTTGGCAATATATAAAATATAAGTCTAAAAGAGTAATAAAATTAAACTTCTTAACAACAAACGTAACTTAACAAATAGTAAAATTCGTTACTTCGAAGAACTAGAAATAATGAAATAATTTCTATATAAAACCACACAATATCTCTTCGAATCGACTATATCACTTGTGTGATGACGTAATTATATGTAAACTTATCTTAAAGACTGATATATAAAACGAATTCTGTGTACTATGAATTATTTGTCAGAACGACTTCCTAATAAAATAGTAACATGTTGATATCAAAATTATTGCCAATCTTGTGTGTTACGAATATTAGCATTGAATTTAATAAAATGATTTCCATATAATAATACACAATATCTCTTAGAAACGACTATATCACTTGTGTGATGACGAAATAATATGTAAACTTCGCTTAAAGACTCATATATAAGACGGATTTTGTGTACAAATAATCATTTGCCGAAACGACTTTATAACTAAATAGTAAAATGTTCATAACAAAATTATTTTTAATCTTATGTGCTCTGAATATTAGCATTGAAGCAGCAAGGATTTTAGCAATATATCCAAGTCCTTCAATAAGTCATCAAGTAGTGTTTCGGCCCCTAACAATGGATTTAATTAAGCGAGGGCATGAAGTTACAGTGATAACTCCAGATCCTTATTTTAAAAATGACTCTGCACCTAAAAATTTAAGAGAAATTGACGTCCACGATATCTCATACAAGATTGGAAAGGATTTCATTCCTACTATTACCGGAAGTGAGGATGATTTGATAAATCAAGTGGTTGCCATGGCTGGAATTATTAGTGACCTACTTGAAAAACAAATGAAAGTGAAGGATGTACGTGACCTTATTGTCGATAAAAAACGACAGTTCGATTTGATACTGTTGGAAGCACTTTTTGAACCACTACTAGGATTTACACACATTTTCAAGGCACCGACAGTTTTAGTAAGCTCTTTTGGACCATTCATTGGAAGTTATGAGATAATGGGAGCACCAACGCATCCTACCGTGTACCACAACATGTTTAGTCAAAGACTATATAATTTAAATTTATGGGAAAAAGTTGCTGAACTGTATAAATATTTTCGTATTCGATACATTTTAAGTTCCAGAGAGGAAAATTACAATAAACTGATTAAAAGCATATTTGGCCCCGACACTCCACCTCTAAGCGTTTTAAAAAATAATGTTGATATGTTGCTGTTAAATGTTAATCCAATTTGGGAAGGAAATCATCCAGTACCACCAAACGTCATACACATGGGAGGATTACACCAAAAACCTCCAAAGGAATTACCAAAGGTAAGTTCATTTATAGAATGTTTTTAAGTCGAACAGCTGGTATGTATGAAAGTTAGCATGCATATTTTATTGTAATAGAATCTAACAATTTTGACGGGTTAACAAGTTATGTTGAATTTTTTTTTAGTATCTCAGAGTAAATTAAAGCTTTATTGTGAGGATTTATAATAGCGCAATATAATGTTATTCCGTTTGAAATCGCCTACGCCCACGGTAGACCTGGATTTTAAGCTATTTAGATCTTTGAGGATCACTGATGATCCTCAAAGATCTACGCACAGGCGAGTCAAACTTGTTGTGTTATGCGTGAAAACAAAGAAGAAATCAAATTTTTTCATGAATAAGATCTATAGTTTTATACGGGTTTTCGCCCCCATAAACCCCTCACATTTTTATCGCATTCGCGAAAGCCGCTTTTGTAAACTGCTATCATAAACGTAATATATATATATATATATATATATATATATATATATATATATATATATATATCGACTAGATAGTTATAAAGATTATACCACTGTTTTATTACTAAATAAATTTATGGGAATACACAGTGTCGGAAATATAAAAAAAAAATATTGACATTAAGCCTATATATAAAATAAAAATAAGTTGTTCTAAATCTAAATTCAAAATGTGAAAATATGAAAAATTACCTAATTGGGTACGAGCAATCGAAGGCGTGGCTAACAATACGTGGAATGTTTGTAATACTCTAGTTCAACAACAACCTAGTAAAAATATAAAATAAACATATTAATCGAAATTTGGAAACTATTAAATGATGAATTTTTTTTCTAACGCCGAGTAAATCTCGGTCGCTGGTAAAGAGATACTACATACGAGTATCTTTATTTCTTATATTATTTCGCTTTACAAAATATATTACTCTGATATGAAACACCACACGCTATTTACGTTAAGGTTGATATCATTTCGTCAACATATTTTTACCAATATAAGCTGCTTAAAAAAATTAGGTTAGTAAGATAATATAAATCTATTTATATATAAAACAATTGCTGTCCGTCGGTATCGAATAAACGGGAAAATGCTTGGTAATGTTTGTGTGTTTGAGCGAGTCTCTGAATGATTTAGATTTACAATTGGACTCGGTACGTGGCGCTGTTGTCGAGCTTTAGTGATCGGAGCGGAGCGGTGTGGGGGCTAATCGCTAGTCTTACATAAAAGTATAATTTCATATATTAATATAGACTTAATTTGAATTTAAATTGCCCTTATGAAATTGAAATGTTGTATATTGCAGGATCTTCAGCAATATCTGGATGCTTCACAAAACGGTGTCATTTACTTCAGTTTCGGAACCAACGTTCTACCATCTGCTTTATCTCAAGAAAAAATTAAAATATTTGAAAATGTTTTCTCACAACTCCCATATAACGTGATATGGAAATGGGATAGTAATGAAAAAGTCGAAAAATCAAAAAATGTAAAAATATACAAATGGCTACCACAATCAGATCTTTTGAGTGAGTAATTTAATTTAACCGTTGACGACATTTTCTTTATATAGGAGAGAGGGCAAACGAGCATACGGTTCACCTGACTATACGTGACTTCCGCCGCCCACCAGCCTTTTAGAAAGGAGTAAGCTCTTTTCTTGAAGGTACCTAGGTTGTATTAGTCCGGAAAATCGCCTGTGGTAAGCTATTCCACAGATAGATCGTACGCGGCAGAAAACTCTTAGTGAAATATACAGTAGTGGACCGCCAAACATCCAGATGATGTGGATGGTATCGGGAGGTTTGCCGCGTAGTGCGTTCACAAAATTTGACCGTCTACAACGACCTTGATGCTCCGATCTGCAATAAAGCTGGTGATCCAATTGCACAATTTCTCGGGAAGCCCACAGGAAGGGAGCTCTGAAGGAAGCGCTTTGTGCCAAACCCGGTAGAAGGCCATGTCCAAATTAACGGACAATGCCTCCCCCTTGGACTCTACTTCCTCCGCCCATCTATGAGTAAGGTAGACTAGAGGATCAGTAGCTGATCGACCAGGTGATCCTCAAGGTACCGCAAGAGCTGGCAGTTTATAATAAATTCCATTATTTTGGAGAACAAGCAGGTTATAGCGACAAGCCTATAGTTTGGCGGATCTGAGCAGTCGCGTTTTTTAGGGATCGGGTGGACGAAAGCCATCTTTTATGATTTCGGGACTACGCCTAGGGATAGGAATACCGGAAAAGACTCGTTGGAACCGGTAGCAACTCTGCAGCACACATAATCAACACAAGTGGGGTGATTCCGTCAACACCCGTGGGTGTCCAAGGAGAAGGTGTTTGCTTTGCAAACTGAGCGCTGTGTGAACCCCATATCGGGTATGGACCACTCACACCGCAGGGTGGTCGGCGGTGTGCTTCCCCGAGTTGGAGAGGATCGAGTTGGACACAAAGAAAGAGCCTAACAAATCGGCTTTCTCCTTTGCGACATGAGCCAGTGAGTCGTTCTCCCTGTATGGAGATAGAAGAGATGGCTGACAGAAATTCCCTTGGAAAGCTTTGGTGAGAGACCAGAATGCACGGGTTCCACAAGAAAGGCGAACTAGTTTCTCGCCAATTCTGGCTATGTGCTATGACTTTGCTTTGGAAATGACTATTTTGTAGGACCTGGAGGCGGAATTATACTTCTTTTTTAGGGCACTGTTGTTTACATCCCGGGACCTTGATGCGTCAGCCCAGGCCTGGTAGCACTCCTGCTTATAGTATGATGCTATTTTACGGAAGCGACTAAAACATGGATGAGATCTGCCGCCGATGGGCACTACAGAGGAAGGAATAAAAAGTTCCACACCCTGAAGTACCACATCATATTTACTATATTGGAAAGGTAAACGTAGAAGAAATTCCAAAATCGTAATACAATTGCTCTTTACTTTTTAGGACATCCTAATGTGAAATTATTTATAACTCAAGGAGGTTTACAATCGACAGACGAGTCGATCACTGCTGGTGTACCACTTATAGGCATACCAATGTTAGCAGACCGGTGGTATAATACAGAAAAATATGTTCATCATAAAATTGGTATCAAGCTTTCCTTAGAAAAACTTACTGAAAATCAATTAAAAAATGCAATTATAGAAGTTATTGAAGATAAAAGGTAACTCAACTATGTTTTTGTTAATATTTAAATTTTTAGTAACTGAGTCAATTTCAAAAACATTGTACATTTGTAAAAAAAATACTGTCCTCGGTCTTTAAACGGCTATAAAAAAAATCTTTGCGTTATTGAATTTACAAATCAAATATTTTTTGTATCAAGCTTAAGCCATCTACTTATAAATAATTTTTTATCTACTCTAATTGGTTCATGGATACACAAAAATAAATTAAGTTTATGAGGGTAATTCTTTCCCCATACAAAAATGTGATGTCCACCTCACCGAATTAGTTGATCATAGTGACATAACTTTATTATTTACAGAGCTAACGAAAAAAAACTTTATCAAATATATTGAGGCAGGGTTACGGTTGTATAATAAAACAATTTCAAATTTTATTTAAAAGTGATTTCATTGTTAAATTTAAATTCAAAATGTTGTCCCAAAATTTGGTATGTTGTGTAACGACGCATGTGTGACGGTGCTTTGGCCTTAATATAGAAATTTGGAACGCTCCCGTAACTTTCTTAAGCCCGGTTTACATTTTGAGAAGTGACAAGTGCGAGTGACAATTACAAGTGACAAATGACAAGTGCTTAGTGCGTGTGGGACAGGCAGTGACAAGTGCGAGTGACAAGTGATAAGTGTGAAATGAAAAGTAACAAGTGAATAGCAGCCTGCTCTATTCTCTGCCAAGTATCTCTGCCCCGCGCTGACCTTTTTTCCCCTCAGTCGCCCACCGCGCCCCGGTTCTAGCTGCGACGTCAGAACATACACGTGTTGATGATAACAGTTATTAAATAAAATATTTTTGTTATATATATATATATATATATATATATATATATATATATATATATATATATATATATATATATACATATTTATAATAATTTTGATTTATTCCGCTATTGTTTTTTAACAATGGCGAAGTGGTCAGATAGCAATGACATTAAATTTGTCCACGAATTATTAAAACACGAATGTTTATACAATATTAAATGAATTTGAAAAATAAAATGATGCGAGACTCTCAATATCTCAAGCAATGGGAATGGCCGGTTTTGGCGCAAAAGAAGTATATGCGAAGTTAACATATTACCAAGAAAAGAAGAAAATTAAAGAGTAGGTCAGGGGCTGGAGCCATATTATTTTCAGGCTTAAATTTTTCCCTTTTATAGCTTTAAGACACATTTTTCTCACTTTGGGGATTTTAGGAAATTGGTGTGCACCAATATCTTTGCAATGAGGCACTTCACATATCTTTGGTATCTCATCATACAGTTTTACCTTTTTTGATAAAAGTTATAAACTTTAAAGCTATGCTAGCGCTACTTTGACAATTACCAACCCAATTTCACACTCGAAGATTTCACATAATTATGACATCCACTTGCCACATGTGTGAACACCAACTTGCTATTTCTCACTTGTCACTTCTCAAAATGTAAACCAGGCCTTAAATCTGGCAACATTTGATCTACTACCAAATTTACAAGAAAATGTTGCAGTCATCTTATTTTAGTGACAGTCACACTGTGAACGTCTCACACGAATTTCGTGACCTTGAGCGTCCTCATACGGCCAGCAGTGAAGGACCACGTCTCTGATCCGTAAGTCATCACTGGCAACACGCACTGGTTATACACTTTAGTTTTCAGAGATTGAGGTATACCTGACGAGAATATGTGTCGTAATTTCCCGAACGCTGCCCAGCCGAGTTGAATCCGTTCGATTGACCTCTCGGTCGAAGTTGGACTTACCTAGTCGGACTATTTGTCCCAAGTAAACGTACTCATCAACAACTTCGAGCATAGTCCTCCCCACAACTACCGGCATAGGTGTGACATGGACATTGAACATAATCTTTATTTTGTCTATGTTCATCTTAAGACCTATCCGTTGGGAGACACCATTGAGGTCATTGAGCATAGTGCCTAGGTCCTCCAGCGATTCTGCCATAAGGACTATATCGTCGGCAAATCGAAGGCGAGTGATGTACTCGCCATTGATGTTAATACCGTATCCTTTCCAGTCCAGTAGCTTGAAAACGTCTTCCAACGCAGCGGTGAAGAGTTTCAGGGATATAACGTCACCCTGTCTTACACCTCTCTGCAGTTGGATAGGTTTCGAACTCTGGTTCTGTACTCGGATAGCCATCGTAGCCCTACTGTACAAACAATTCAGCACCTCGATATACCGACAGTTAACTTGGTACTGCTGAAGGGACTGTAGCACCGCCCAAATTTCGACGGAAGCAAAGGCTTTCTCATAGTCCACATACGCCAGGCAAAGTGGCAGATTGTACTCTTCGGTTTTCTGTACAATCTGCCGCAGGGTATGTATGTGATCTATGGTACTGAAGCCTTTTCGGAAACCGGCTTGTTCGGGAGGCTGGAAGTCGTCGAGTCTGTGTGCGAGACGATTCGTAATGACTCTCGAAAACAGCACATAGACGTGGCTCAGATGGGAAATCGGTCTGCAGTTCTTTAAGAGAGCGTTGTCGCCTTTCTTGAAGAACAAGACTACCGCACTTCTGCTCCAAGCCTCCGGAGTAGTGCCACCATGGAGGACGGAATTGAAGGGCCTCTGAAGGACTTCAAGTGCCGGTGTTCCACCCGCTTTCAGAAGCTCCGCTGTAATTCCATCCTCGCCTGAGGCCCTGCCGTTTTTAAGGTGCTGGAGAGCATAATCTCGCTCAGACTGACGTCCGGGATATCATCGGAATAGTGTCGGGTAAGACTTGCTCTTGTATCGTTACTCACACTTGTGTGTGGCTCCAACGATGATGTGTACAGCTGCCCATAGAACCTCTCAGTCTCACTCAAAATCTCAGGTGTCCCGGAAATGATGCTGAAACACTCAGTCTTCAGCTTTGACAGTTGGCTCTTTCTGGCAGACAGATCTCTGCAAAGACTTTGGAGCCCTGGTTCCGCTCGATCGCTTCTTTAATACGAGCAGTATTAAAGTTGCGTAAGTCTTGCCGCATGCATTTGGAGAGTTTTTCAGTTGCCTGTATGCTGTCAAATCTGTTGACGATTGCAGCCTCATCTCCCGTCTAACAGCCATAAGATTAAGAGTGTGATCGGAGAGTTTTTGTTTTCTTCTGCGGCGCGTCTTGCAGAACTTAGCTCCGACCACATGGACAGTTTCCACGAGCTTGTCATTCATATCGTCCACTGCATTGCAATCTTCTAGGCACTGAAAGCGGTTACGTAACTCGAGCTGAAAAGTCTCGGGATTCTGGATTAGAGCACGAGGGGGACGGAGCGTTGACTTCATTAGACGAGACCTCTCCAACTTAACGTTTAGGTTCAGTGTGCCTCTAACCATTCGGTGATCGCTGCCGGTTTTCACCCTTGCGATCACTGAGAAATCACTGAACAGTTGGCATCTGGTCGTCATAATGAAGTCAATCTCATTTTTTGTCGAACCGTCTGGGCTCGACCAGGTCCACTTCCTGTGGGGCCGCTTCTGGAAGAAAGAGTTCATCATAAAGAGTCCCTCTTTCTCCATAAAGTCAGCCAGCTGCTGGCCCCTACGGTTCCGTTGCCCTACTCCAAATTTCCCTAACTTCAGCTCACCGCCTTCTCTTGTGTCTAGTTTTGCGTTGAAGTCTCCCATCAACACCGTATAGTGGGTTTTGGAGGAATGCATGGCTCTAGAAATATCCTCATACATTTCCTCCACCTCCACATCGGGATGTGCCGAGGTTGGTGCGTAGACCTGTATGACCTTCAGCGAATACCGTTTGGTGATTGTGAGTATCAGGTACGCGACCCTCGTCGACACACTCCCAATCTTTACAACGTTGTTGACGAGAGACTTGTGGACGATAAATCCGACACCTCCTTGGGACAGATGGTCGCCCTCCCGGTGATAGAACAAGTTGCCGGACTCGAGGATTACCGTGTCCTCCCCCTCTCTTCGGACCTCAGATAATCCAATAATATGCCAGCGCAACTTGTCTACCTCTTCTTCCAGCTCCAGTATCTTCTCGTCAGTCCTCAGGGTGCGTGCGTTATACGTTGCCAGGTCGAGTCGTAGGTGGCAACCGAACCTCAACCGGAGATTCTTAGCACCCCCTGCCCCGCTGTTACCATGGTCGCCACCGTAGCCAGGAATAGCGGGGCCCCTGGGGACTGGGGGCCGTTTATTTGTGTCGTTGCTCATGGGGGGATATTTGCCATAGTTGCCACGCTTGGCGAGCGGGTTGGCAACCGCAGTTTTTTATTATAGTATTGTTGTTTTTAGGAGGATGCTGCTGCCCATCTCCTTTCTGTGTCCCTCTGTCGCCTCTTACGACACCCACGGGAAGATATGGGGTAGTGGATATTCTCAACCGTCACTACACGACTAAGGACGACATCGACACCTGTTAATAATTTCTGTTGCTCTTAGATTATACCTTTTGCAATTTACGTTATATAATCACTGGCGAAGGGATAGGCACGACCTCTTTATAAAAACGTAGTGCAAGTTTTTCTTTCTGTTTTTGCTTTAAAGGATTATGTTTTTGTCTTCGTTGGTACCTTCTTATGGTAATTTTATACTTTCGCGGTCCTCTCGTTTTGTAGCTCTAGAAAATCGAGAAATCATCCGATTTCGATAATTTTTTTCTCAAATCTTCGTTTTTATGGCGGATTTATGAAAAAAAAATATGGAAAATGTCTCATTTGAAGACTTCTTCGAATGTAATCGTTCATAACATTTTGCAAAGCATTAAACGAAGTTATTATATATTTTTGTTAAACTACACAAAAAACGCACATTTAGAAAAAAAATTAAAAGAATATCACATTAATGTTTATTTATTAAGTTTTTAGCGAAGCGAGCTCAGGGCTTAGGGCATCCCGACTTGGAAAGGTTAGGTTAGAAGTCTTCCCTCCCCCAACTCTCTCCCGTAGAATGGAAAAAAAAAAAAAAAAAATGAACCAAAAAAAAACAAAAAATAATAAAGAACAAAAAAAAAAAAATGAATGAGAGGAAAGAAAGAATAAGGA